GTGGGCGAGCTGGAGGCATGGACATAGAGTTGGGGTAGCACTAATTGAAGAGAAGTTTGTCCAAGATCGTCTGAGATGGTTTGGGCATGTTCAGCACAGGCCTCCAGAAGCTCCAGTGCATAGCGGACGGCTAAAGCGTGCGGAGAATGTCAAGAGAGGTCGGGGTAGACCGAATTTGACACGGGAGGAGTCCGTTAAGAGAGACCTAAAGGATTGGAGTATCACCATAGAACTAGCTATGGACAGGGCTTCTAATGATGGATACCTCCACCGGGTCACTGCTACTTGTGCCCCAGAACGCTATCACTCGAAATGCATCATCCTTGCAATTGATCAACTTGATGAGATCCATTTTTTCTTTTTGCCGTAGTAGCCTTGCATCATCAGAGGCAGACATTGTCGCACTTGAGATGATGTAGGCTGCCCAACATCAGAGGTAGGCTTGGAGCTAGAGCCCTTGATGAGGTGGTACCGTTGGTTCCTCTGGCTGACATCCTCCACCTTTATTCTGAGCTCCTTCATCTGCTTCGCCACGTGCTGCCGGTCTAGCAGTGTGCGAGGGATGTGCCACCAAGATTGCTTCTCAAGATGTACGGCGAAATCTTGGAGACAATCCTCGACGGTGTAGGACACGTCGCGGACTTGTTTCACCCAAGTCCTGACCACCATATTGTCATCTCACTCGTCATGTGCAGCCATGAGGAATGACCGCATCATCTCGAGCTCGTCGGTGATGAATACGCGATCACTATGTACTCCAAGCTGCAGAGCCACCTCCTCAGCCACGACAGATTTGGCATAGTTGAGCGCCCCGCTAAGAACAGACTTGCCAACATTTAGCGCAGTCGCCTCCATTTGCGGGTGGGGTCTTTCTATGGTTAATTAATGCTGGGCGTTAGTGAAAGTGATGTAGCTAATAATAAAAGTCAAACGAGGAAACACAAGAAACCTGGTCTTGTCCGCGGCGACCAAGACCGATCAACCTCAACAGCAGCAGTGCTCTCCCAATTGAAACATCTGCATTGCGTGCAAACAAGAAGAAGAATTTTGAGTTTATTATAAATTAACTATCAAGTGACCAAGTGCTAAATAAAGACTGAACGCACATGATTCAGAAATTCACCAAAGCAAAAAAGAAAAACAGAAATGAAATAAAATTACCAGCACGAATTGGGTGTAGTCCCCAGGTTCACTGTGTCAGATACCAGCCAGGGTATAGAAGCAGACAGAGGGAAATATAATTGGGTCATGGACCAAAGATAGAGGGTGACATATTCTTTACATCTTCTTGCTGCAGCCTCGGATTCTTGCTGTTCCACCCCCATCCTCCAAAGCAAAGTGTAGACAAGCATGTAGAGCAGAGCAGGAAAAGAACCTTCTTTTTCTTGCTGCCGCAGCACACGTGTGATGCTGCGTTGCCTCTCCTTCCTTGCGCAAGGAAACGATCGGTTCATTCCTTGCTGCCTGATTTGTGATAGAATGAAGGAAAGCAACACAGACATATCACATTGGAGATTCTAAACAGCGAATGAATTCGTCGCTTGGCACTTAACCCCTTTGTATGCAAGAAAAGCATATATTTCAACATTCTGGTGTTCTTTGATCAACGGATAATCTTAGATACCAACAAAACCAAAGTATACCAAATTTGTGTTCTGTTTTGTGACTGGGAGGAAAGTAACATAGACACATCACTTTGGAGATTCTATAAATTGCGAATGAATGCATTATTTGGCACTTGAAACCCTATGCAAGAAAGGTATAATATTTCAACATCCTGCTGATTTTTTATCAACCGAGATTCCAAGATACCAACAAAATCAGAGTACACAAGATTTGTGCTCTGCTTTATTTAACTGTCAGTTAAAACCAAAACATACCATGAATCTAGTTGAACCATTATATGATCTATTCGACATTAATAGATGGCCAGTTTTGGTAGCACATGCTCTGTATCCTAAAATATAAAATGAAACCTTATTATTGACTAAACTGTGCTCACACGAACAAACACATAAGTTGAAAAGTCATGACTGATGAACAAACGACAAAAGCCATTTGCTACCATGGTGCCTGTGCTTACACATGGAGTTGATGATATAAAATGAGCCTTTGTAGGTGGTTTTGATTCATCAACTCAATCAAAGGAAATACTACACGGGAGGGAAGTAATGCATGAATAATAAGACACACAAAAGGGGAGTTGAATACAGCTAGTACTACGACTTGCAACTCTTGAAAACAGGCCTGTTTTCATTCTCTGAGAGCTGGCTGATCTTGCAAGTATTCCACAAACCTTGAAACACTGGGATGGCTCGAGTCAAAATACTGCAGCAGCTCGAGCCTAGGGGCAGCTCCTTCCTCAAATCCCACCAACTTGAGGTTTACGACAAAACGCAGCTGCAGCACCTTCAGCCTCGGGAATGCCTCACAACGAAGACTGAAACGGACCTCATCACCAACAAACGAGCCACACAATAGACGCAGTGTGACCAGGTTTGGTAGATTCCCAAGGACTTGTATGGCCGCATCATGCTCTGATATCCTCGACCACTCTAGCTTCAGCTTCACAATATTTTTGAGGCCCTGGATCCACCCCGGCATTTTAACCAGGTTGCCGTACAACTTGAGGCTCTGCAAATTTTCCGGAGGAGAGGACATACCATCCAAGCAACCCGATAAACCTGTCTCTCCGAGTGAGTGTAGTGACAATGACTCCAAAGAGCTGAGATGAGAAATTGATGAACACAACTCTTGACCATTTCTCCTGTTGATGCCAGTCACTCCTAACTTGCGCAACCGTGTGAGATTTTTTATATCGTGTAGAACAAACTTCCCTGCTGAGACGTCCACGGTACGCAGTGTGTGTAGGGCCCTTAGTTTCCAAATCCCGCTGGGCATTTTGACACCACCTGGATTTCTACCTGCTGCATAATAAGGTAATATGCTGCAGCAGAACGCAGTGCATATATCACGCCTGTTAAGTTGTGCACCATCGTCAAGTACAAGATCCTCTCCCAGAATATTAGGTGCAAAGCATGCTCGGCAACAATATGCTGAATATGAAGGCAAACTCATCAGTGACTGCTCATCGGCATCTCCATATATATGACTACGTGTATCTCCTATGCCACTAGCAAGAATGTGTTGCATCTTCACAAGCTTGATGATGGTCCTTGGTAGCTTTATTATGCTTGTACCGGATATATCTAGTGTCTGGAGTTGCCTCAGGTTCCCGAACGAATTTGGCAAGTGAAATATAGTATCATGTCCACGTAGAGAAAGAAATATAAGATGTACAAGCTTCCCAATATGCTCAAGATGATGATCAACTAGATCCCACTTACCTTCCAAATCCAGCACCCGAAGCAACCTCATCTTCTCAGAAATGTAAAATGGCCTCCAGTTTCCAAACACTGTCAACGATCGTACACGGGACAAGTCTACTATATTCTCAAACTCAAACTGGTCACCATTCCAATTGCTGCTTACAGCCAGATGACGCACTGTGCCATGGTTATTTAAGCTGCACCCTTCCTCCAATCTGAAAACAAGATTTTCCTCCATAGACTTTGAGATGGCAATATAATGAATGAGATCATGGACTTGGCAGGAGTCAATTCCTTTCCTGCTATAAATCGAACGTTGATATGGCAGGATCATGCCCCTGCTTACGAGTTCGATGAAGTAACAGTCCAATACTTCCTCCACGGACTTGCCACGCACATCACTTGAGTAACCCTCTGCAATCCACCGACACACTAAGCGTCTCCGTGCAATTATGTAGTCTTCAGGAAAGATGGCCAGATACAAGAAACAAGCCTTTAGGTGATAGGGTAAACCACCATAGCTGCATTCCATAAGGAGTACTCTTGAGGCCAGAAGTTCTGGATCCATCTCCAACTTGGCACTAATATGGTCATTAAATTTACTCCATTCAAAAGCAGTTTTTGGTTGGTGTGCCAGAAAGCCACCTACGGTGATTAGTGCAAGGGGAAGCCCTCTGCACTTCTTCATAATTAGTTTTGCTTGTTCAACCAACGCTGGATAATCCTCATCCAAACTTACGGGCTCCTTAAATACCTGAAACCCATATCAATAAAGTCATTTATATTACTACAAGAGGGAAATCGTAAGCACTGTTGTCTAATACATTTTCTACCGTACCATACACTATTGAATATACAGGAGCATGTAGTATAAGGATGTGGACGCGAGATTGCTTTTTGTTTGCTAATACATTTCGGCGTCATCCATCTTTCTTGTTTAACATATCAATATTTATTCCAAACAAATATTATCCAGCCACTTAGCAATGTACCCATAGTGCAATGAACACATCGTCTCATTCCGCATTCCACGGCTAAAATCACTGTTCTGACCCTTTGCCCGAAGTTCAACAAGATACGACCCTGTTTTGGAAAAAATTCATGATCTGACCCTTTTCCTGCCGCCATCCTCCTTGGCAGTAGGGTAGCACATCCTACAGCCGAGGTCTCTAGCAGTAGGACATACCAATGCCGTCATGACCATTCACTGTGGAAAAGACCCTACCGCCAAGGCCTTTGGCGGTAGGACATTATACCCTAAGTGGTAATAGTGGTAAAGTCACAGAGTAAGTAATTTCTTGTTTTATGCATTGGGTGATAAATATGGTAAATATTGTGCAGGGGTGGTAGCCCTTGCTAGATTTTAAATAAATATTAGTGACAGCGGGCACCACAAAAAACCAGCCAGTGGTAAATTGTATTACCAGTGGCGGGTGCACATGTACTTGGACTGATCCTGCGTGGTTTAAGTACCGCATTCTGATTGGTCCGACGCACCCTCCCATGAATTGATGAGGTGGCTCTCATCCTCCCATCCACAACAAGCGTGTGCACACAGATCCGCCGCATTCTCTCCATTACCTCTCCCCTTCTCTCTCTCCCAGCGACTCACACCAAATCCATGAACAAGGTCTCTCTTCTCTCTGTCTCGGCTCAATTTGCTCGATCTCCGGCCGGTCTTCACATGCCCTACCACTGTCTTCCCGTGGACATTTGTCCGAGCTAGAGGGTGACCAGCAGCATGGGTCCGACATCACCTCCTCCTGCAGACGTCTTCACGAGCTAGATGGCGACCACCCGCAGATCCGACGCCACCCTCTCCTGCAGACGTTCTCCCCCTCCAAGGTCTCGAGAGCGAATGCACCGCTACTCGCCAACCGTCCCTGCAGTTGGCCTGCATCAGTGGGAGGGCGCCTGCGGTTCCCGGCGTCGTCAGATCAAGAACGAGAGCAACTCCGCCGCTGCTTCCCTTGCCCCCCTCTCTTTTCTTCCCAATTTATAATTCCATCGCAAAATGAACCTCGCCTCCCTCACCTTTTCTCCAACAAAGAGGAAACTGGAGGAACCACCGGTGGCGAGCAATGCCTCCAGTTTTCATTGCAGCCTGGTAAACATAGTAGTGGCGGGCAGGAGAGAATGCCCGGCACATATATTTCCTGTGAGTGGCGGGTGAATATTGACGCCTGCCATTGGTGGTGTGTGCCCTTAGTGCCGATAGTGGATTACTAGTGGTGGGCGCTAGGTAAAGCCCGCCACTACTACGTCTTTACCACTGGAGGGCGCGCACCCGCCATGATGCCTAGTAGTGGAGGGAAGACAATAATGGGCGGCCCTAAGAGCCCTGCTTGCCACTGCTGGGTTTTTGATGCCCGACACTATTAGTCGTTCCTATAGCTATATTCATTTGTCCAACTTATTGTAATCATAGTTTTTGTATTCCGATGCCCTTCGTATTTATATGTATTATGCTTGCTACTGCTTACAATTTCTAAGAAATGGCAATTCCAATTTTCTAGTGGGCGAGACCTAGCAAGTTAATTCTAGAATTTTGTTACCTGTGCTCCTAGAGGCATTGTTTGTGAAGTTTGAAGCAGTTTAGCATTCACCAAAATAAAAAAAATTGACAACATATATTCCATAACTGTAATAGAAATAAGAGGATAGGGATTCATGTAGACTAACTAATTCAGTATGACATTATTTCATTTGTACCTTTTTGGTGAAGAGGGTATATGCGTCATCAGGACCTAGCTGCTTGAGCTTGTATATGTTTCTTCCATTCTTTGAGCAGTGTTTGGCAATATGCTCTTCCCTTGTGGTGATTATTATGCAGCTTGCTGCCGTTTGTGGCAAATACTGTTTTATAGCATTCCATTCGGCTAAGGACGATAGATCATCAAGAACAAGCAAATATCTCCTTCCTTCTAAACATCTCCTTAAGTTTTTCTCATTCTTAACTCCAAATTGCATAGTTAAACTCTTAAGGAGTGTTTCCGAATTGAAAGGATGTGTGATTGTGACACAAACACGCTTTTCAAACATGATACTAATCTCATGACTATGATAAATCTCTCTTGCTAGTGCTGTTTTTCCAATACCACCCATTCCCCACAAGGAGATCACATGAAATTCGTGCAGATATTTATTTGTGATTCGTTCGATGATTTCCTTTTTTTGATCCCCTCTTCCAATGAGACGAGATTCTTCTAGAGTATCCATTGTCTCCAAGCTGTAAGCACTAGTAGAGGGTTCGTATGAGATGGATCCTTTTTCACCTGAATTCCTTCCATCCTGAGAAACCTAAACACAAGCACATGATAAATGGTTAGGTGTTGTCTTGGTTTCCACGAGATACCATTTGGTCATGTTTAAAGCTTTTCGTCCTTTTTCATATAAAAAAACTTTTGTTCTTAAATAATTTGACGATCTCTAAACAAACCATCCATGGGAACACAATCTAATTACCTTCGGCCTAGTAGAAAGTAATACTCTGCGTTTTGATGCTTTATTGATCAAGGGAGAAGCCCATTTATATAAGAGGGATATCTTGGCTCACAAGCTAACTCAAGGGAGATAGGATATCAACTCTAAAATGGATACTAATCCGGACTCTACACCTAATACAAATCTGAACCTAATAAAATACTCCATCCGTCCGAAATATTTGTCGCGGAAATGGATAAAAATAGATGAATCTTAAACTAAAATACTTCTAGATACATTCATTTCTCCGACAAATATTTCCGGACAGAGAGAGTAGTTTATAGTAATAAAGAAATGCTAGCCACGCACGTTGGGCTGGATCGAGGGATGGTTCGGCCACGGCTGGGCCCACTGACTATATGTGGCTCCCCCATAACATCTCTCCCTCCATCCACAAATAACTCGTCCTCGAGCTAAAACGAAGGAAAACGAGCACTGAACTCGTCCAACAGCTCCCATGCTGCATCATGTTCAGAAACACCAACCCACTACACAAGGATAGGCTTCACTCCACGGCGAAGGCTCGACCGAAAAACCTTGGCTTTCGCCGGCACCACTGGGCCATCCACAATGGTGTGGAGTACAGCAGGAGTGGCTGGCGGGTCACCATGAAACTTTTTGAGGAGACTGACGTGGAACAAATCATGGATCCAAGTACCAGCAGGCAGCACGAGTCTATATGTGACCGATCCAATGGTATAACCTGGAAAGGCCGATTGAAGAAAGGGGACAGCTTGCCATGCTTGCGTCCTAACGATGCGGCCACCCGGTGAAAGCCAAGCAAAAACCAATCTCCGATGTCAAATGCCAACTCATGGTGCTTGTAATGCTCTTCCCTCTAATGCGGTTGATGGAAATGCTCTACCACCTCACAAATGAAGGTCACGTGATCCTGGAGGGTGGTGTCCAAGGCATTCACCTTGGCACCGTCTGGTAGATATTCATGAATGTCAGAGATATTTAGGATGCATGTATTCAGTAGTTTAGGATTTGTAATATGTCTCTTACCTTATCTCTAGAAGAAACGTCTTGCACTCCAAGTCTTGTACTCAATATATACTCGCCCTCGAGGCTCAGTAATACATCCATCATATTTCAGCAATCCCTCTCTATCCCTTCTAACGTGGTATCAGCCTAATCGATCCAAACCCTAGCCGCCGTCCGTCACTTCCGCCCCGCACGCCGCCCCCAGGCGGTTGGCCGCCATGACCGCTGCCGGGGGCCGCGCCGCCCGTACCTAGGGTTCGTCCGCCGGTCGTGTTGACCGGCTGTCCTAGAGAGTCTTTTTCCTGATCCTTTGATCTGGATTTTTCTCTCTCCTACTGGTCATCTTGATTAGCGTTTTCTTTTTGGTCTTCCAATCTAAGATCGGTTTGCGTTGCCCGCAGCCGCCGTTGACCCCCGTGCGCCTCTACTCCAACACCGGTGTGACTGGCCGGCTTCTTCACCGACCAGGCTGCCTCGCGCGACAGGCGGCCCCTCACAGTTGTCGCCCGCACGTCCGCCTGCCCGTCGCCCTGCACCTGTCGTCCCCGCCGTACTCCGACCGGGATTTCTGCATCACCACCCCGCCTCCGCCACCGCCGCGTATGTACGGCCGCCTCCTCACGACGTTGCGTTCGCCGCTCGGGGCTGGCACCTCGGGCGCCGCTTGTCAGTCGCCCGGGCGCCGGCGCCGATGCACTTGTCCGCACGTCATCACTCGCCGGTCGTCGTCGCTGGTTTCAGCTCGGACTCCACAACCACCCCGCCTCCACCGAGCAGCGACCCCGACCTCACGCGCGATTGGATTGATCACCCGCCCGCCGCCGCGATCAGCCTCATCTACGCCGTGCAAACGACCTAGCCCGTCGGTTGCACACGCCTCCGCATGTCCGGTGAAGACCGTCCCGAGTACTGCGCGCCTCTACACCAATCGAGCATCGGGCTACCGCTACATCGCCCCGTCGGGCCGTAGCGTCCCTGCCCCGTGGTTCTCCCCCTCGCCTGCACCGATCCGTGTCACCGCTGCGTCGCCCCTTCGGACCATAGTGCTGCGGCCCGCGGTCCACCGCCGCCCCGAGGCCGTCCGCTCCAGGCCATCCCCGTGGCTGCACTGACCCTCACACCGCCACCGCGTCGCCCCATCGGGCCGTAGCGAGCGTGGCACGCGATCCATGCCGCCGCCCGTGGCCGTCCCTGCGGTTGCACCGACCCGTGCTCCGCCGCCCCTTCTGGTCGTATCGCCGCGGTCCGCGGTCACCGCCGCCGCCCCAAGGCCGTCCGCTCCAGGCCATCCCCGTGGCTGCACTGACCCTCACACCGCCACCGCGTCGCCCCATCGGGCCGTAGCGAGCGTGGCACGCGATCCATGCCGCCGCCCGTGGCCGTCCCTGCGGTTGCACCGACCCGTGCTCCGCCGCCCCTTCTGGCCATATCGCCACGGTCCACGGTCACCGCCGCCGCCCCGAGGTCTTCCCGTCATCGCCTCGACCCGCCTGCTGCCGCTGCGTCACCCTTCGGGCCGTAGCGCCACGGCCGGCGGTCCACTCCGCCATCCCCGTGCATTGACTTTACGTGGTATGCGCCGCGCCGCCTCCCTTGGCGTGGGAACGCCACTATCCGCATTGGTCTTCGTCAAGTTATTGGGTTCTCCTCGCCTAATTCGAGCATCGCCGACGCGCTCCTAACCAAGCCGCGGCCGCCGCTCCTCTTTGGCGCCGCTGCAGCTCGCTCACCCGGGCCGCGCCGCCTGTCCACCCCTTCGTCTTCGTCCAGCACCAGCTCGTCACCAGCGTCGCCGTCATCTTCCCTGACCACTTCGTCTACTCCGACCACCGTTGGCGACATCGGCCCTGCGCCTCTTCGCGCCGCAACCGTCGTCGAGTTTTTCTATGCTGGCCCCCTCCGAATCCTCGACATGGCGTATACCTTGTGCAGGTCCCCTGTCTACGCATGCCTGGTGCTAGCAACACCTTCTCAGCCTCGTCCCTACGCTAACCTCAAAAGAATTCTCACACCGATTATGCCAGATGAGCTGATCGATGGAACCATTGTAGGTCAGGAAGTTAGGCTTGTGGAATTGTGGGTCATTGGAGGCGGAGCCGGAGCCGGTACCAAGGTGATGGTATGGGTGGGGGATGGATGTGTGGTACGGCGAGGCGGCATATGTGTATTTTGTCTGTAGTGGCCGAAGTGGTGACCGCTAAGGGTTGGTGGGCAGCATTGGTAGCACGGTCATGGTGGAGATATGTGGTGGAAGACTAGGTTAACTGAGGGTAAACAAGGGATTGGTGATGGGATGGTGGCGGGTTAGTTGGTTAGTTTGCTGGGAGACAATGATGAGGCCGGAAAGTGGGGCCAGTGGCGGCGGTGGGGAAGGCGCGGATTAGATCATGTGCTCATAGGGGAGTGGTGTTGATGGTTGCTAGGGCGGTGGTCGCGTGGGAGGTGGAGGCATGGATGAGGTGGCAACGGAGGGCTTGCCGGCTAAAACGTCATGCATGGGTCGGCGAATTCAAACGCCCAAGCTCGAGGGTCGACCGGGGCGAGAGATGCTGGAGCACAAGGGTGCTGCTCCATGGTGTCGAGTACAACTATTTTGTTAGATAACTTTACAGTTTTCTTCGACTACATTGTAGGCATGTGGATCCCTTGTTGTAGCTCTGGTTGGTTTAGTGTAAAGGGCGAGCTCTAATATTGAGTTAGATTGGGTTCAGCAGGATTAAGTTAATCAACTGAAAGCTTTTTAACCACCATAACCCGGATATAGGTTGAACCATCATAATGGTAGATAAGCTAACTCACCAGAATTAGCTCTCCACAATTATGTTTTCTTTGCTACTTTCCGTAGAGCGGCCCATCACACCGACGCTATCACCGAAGTTATCCACGACTCACCAACACCTAGAACCTTATACACATGCAGCTGAACCATCGGGCATGAACCTCACTGACACCTACATGATCTCTCTAGTGGTAGTCTCTCCATGGCTCTAGACATCAGCAATTGCGCAAGCCGATAGAAGTTCTAACTTGGATTTGGCCCCATAGTTTGCTTGCTTTCATTGGTGCCGAAGAACATGGAGAAAATATAATTTATGGAAGAACTGTGAGGTTGATGACCAGTAGGAAGTCAAATAACTCCAGCGAGAGTTGAGGACTTCTACTAGAAAACGAATGGAGTATGAGGTATAGTCTAACCACTGGAATTATTTGGATGATCAAGATTGTATCTAGGGCTAAGGCAAAGAGGAGGACATGCTAGAGGATGAAGGGGGAGAGAGGGAAATTATATGTGTTAGATGTGCGGTCATTTAGGATAGTCTAAAGCATTTAGTGCACTTGACCCCACTGCATTTTTGTGCTGTCACCGCCACTGGGTGCACATTAGTCTTGATATGTTAAGATTACTATATATGTCAGTTGTAACACAAGTAAAATTTACCGAAAAAGGATAGGTAAAGGGTTTCCCCCCGCTTTGTATATAAAGCAACCAACCGAGCCATACAAGGATAGATGCTGGGGCGGAAGCACCACAGTCACGCCCAAAACGAAACGACAGAGAAAGAGCAAAAGAAACAAATGTCGACAACGGCGGATCAACAAAAAAACGAAGAAGCCTCGCGATCGCTGCGCCCACCGGGATCTCCCACTAGGCTCCAAGACTCCGAAGCGCCGGCACCTATCAACACCTCCAAGAAGGATCGCGACGATGACGACGCTGCTGCCAAGGGTTTCCCCCGGTACACGACGAGGCGAGAGGAAGGGTAGCCCCCGACGCCCTACCGGAAGGTCAGGTGGCGCCCACAAGCGCCACCGCGCCGGTGTCGGACAAGCCGACAGGGGTTTCCCCCGATCCCAACCCGCACCTCAGGCGCTCCGTAGCCAGCCACCAAACCAACCACCATCCAGCGCTAACACGGTCAGGAGGCCCCCACGCCGTCTCACCACGGCAACACGGGGTGAGGACAACACGGCGAAGGATCAGAGCCGGGACTAGGGCATCAACACCTTTGGCACGCGGGAGGGCCCCACCTCCACCGTCCGCGACGGTAGCCGTCCGGACGCAATAGCAGGAGTACACCAGGCCTGTGGGCACACAGGCCCGGCCGAGCCCTCGTGGGCTCGTAAAGCTCCCGCCTTCGCGCTGCTGCCGGCACGCCGTCGGCGCCGCCGCCCCGTATCCGAGCCGCTCCTCCTCCTCACCACGCTGCAGACAACGAGGCCACGCTGGGGAGCCGGCCGCTAGGACCCAGATGGGGCCCGCCGAGCCCAGATCTGGGCCAGGGGCGCGACGACGGCCACCCAGCACCACCACGCCGCCCCGCCGCCAAGGAGCGGCGCCGACACCACGCCTGCCGCCGGCCGCCACCGCAGGGCCGCCGGACCGCAGCAAGGCCGAGCAGCACCGCCGCCGCCTCCCAGCCCCGGGAAGGGAGCGCGCACGCGCGGGGACGAGAAGGCCCGCCGCCGCCGGCACCACCCGGGCCAGCGCCGGGGGCGCCCGCC